GGGGGAATGTACTTATGTGCTGCCTCTTAGCGCTGGACTATAAGAGGCTTTGAGAGACGGGCTTAGGACCTAGCCTGGATACCACTCACGTCTTCTCATATTTATGTTGCCCTGTCTCTTCCACTCTGTTTCATTTTATGTCACCAGACCGGTTAATTATCACAAGCTGGAATGGAGGTAGGAAGCTAAATAGAGCATATTTATAACCTGATACATTGCTATATAGTTAGAGCTTTGTGTTTGTGATGAATTTGAATTTTTGTGCATTGATAAAAAGTTCTTAAATTCACAGTGTTTGCTGTTTCAAGTTGTGAAAGCAGACACATAGAGTTGTTAGAGTGTCACAGAGTTTCAATTATTTCCCTTTTGTTCCTTTTTTATACTTCTCCTTTAAGTTATCGAAATTCTTAGAGGGCACCGTGCACAGTAGTTAACTCAAATGGAATGTAAAGGTCAGGTTATGTGGAGCAAACATTCACAAAGGCTGTTGAGATTACCGAAAGTAAATAAATGTGCTAACTTTTCAAGGTAGACAAAGTGTCTGCTTTGCCTGCTACCTTGTTTTGTCTCGATACAAAATAATAAATATCTATTCTGTTGTTAAAAGCATTACGCAATACCACCCAGACTCCTGGGTGGTATGAATTAACTTTACGTGGAGAGTGTTTATGCTTTAATCTGCAATGACGAGTCAAATCTGCATTGTGTTCAATGTGGATATTATGTCTCAAGCTGCACTAATTACTCAAATGAAACTGTACATTGTTTTCTTTTTATGTTGGTGTTAAAGTTTTATTGTGTGTGAACGTGTGGGTGTTTGTGATCTCTGATCATAATATATTTGTAGATTGTGTTATTATAGAGTCCACTCACTCAGCTGCATTGTGCAGGAAGGATTTCATTCCCATGCCAGTGTGCGTATGTGTGTCTGCTTGCCCTGGCACCCATATGTGGCCAAAAAAGTAAAAGAAAACACATTTGTATCACACTGTTATACTCTTATCTTGATTGGTGAATCACATTGTTCTTTAAGGGAAACAAAAATATAGGCGTGGAAGCATTTTTACTTGGTGATGTATTTTCTCAGCTGTGTCAGATTTGTGTGTCATCATTCATGCAAACATTAAAAACGTTACTGCCTTATTAAAACCGATTGGTTAACTGATCCAATCTCTCTCCCTATCTCTCTCTTTGCTCTTCATAGGATGCCATTACTCAACGTCAGCATGAAGTCTTTACAGCCGGCACAACCTTGTACGGATAGGTAAACCAGAGCACCTGGAGAGCACTGTGGACACATCGAGCAAGTTATACTAGCCAAGAATAGATCATCTCAGGGCCTGACAGAGATCCTGACCACAAAGCATTCACCTTGAGCCTCAGTTGATTCGCATTGCTGTGTTCCTACATTTTAAACATCGTTCTCTGCCTCCCCCGTTCGAAGACCTCCCACGTCGACCCCCCTCCTGCGCCATAAGGACCCAGAATACTGCCCCTCAGAGGGGAGATGCCTGTCTTGCTAAATGCCGATGCCTCCTTCAGCTCCAAGCAGGAGCTCCTGGACCTTCAGGACTGCCCTCTCAGCGGGGGCCCCTCTCTGGACACCCCCAGTCCCCCAGACTCCCAGACAGGCAGCCCACTAGGCTCAGGCCCCAGAAGCACTGGCAGCCCCGGAGCTGATGGCCCCGTTCGGCCCCACATCTTCACTGGGGCTTCCACGCTCCCGGGGCAGCTGTATGGGGCGGAAGCACAACCTTGTGCAGGGACCCCAATGGGGTTAAAGCTGATCTCCACTGACTCGGATCAGCTGTGTGGCTGGGGGGCCCTGACGCCCAAAGCTATCCAAGCTTTCAACACCCCTCGATGGGTGCTGTTCTTCCTTTGTGTGGCCTCTTTCCTCCAGGGGATGATAATCAACGGCTTCATTAACACAGTGGTCACCTCAATTGAGAGGCGCTTCGACCTGCGCAGCTACCAGGCCGGCCTCATCGCCAGCTCCTACGACATCGCCGCCTGCGTCTGCCTGGCTTTCGTCAGCTACTTTGGCGGGACAGGACACAAGCCCCGCTGGCTGGGATGGGGGGTGCTGATCATGGCTATTGGTTCGCTGGTGTTTGCCCTGCCTCACTTTACCACGCCCCCTTACCAGGTCAGTCTGACCGAGCGGACGGTTATGTGCTCCGGCAACCGTACCACCCCGTGCCAGGACAAGGAGGGTGGAGGATTGTCCAGCTATCGTTTTGTGTTCATGCTGGGCCAGTTCCTCCACGGCGTGGGTGCCACGCCTCTCTACACGTTAGGGGTCACGTACCTGGATGAGAATGTCAAGTCCAACTATGCGCCTGTTTATATTGGTGAGTAACTCATTTTGTACAGCATGTTCCTGCTTGGTTTTGCATTGTTTGAAGTAGCGATCACTCCCTAACAGTGATCATATTAATGATCATCTCTTCCCAATTGGTCACTTTGTTCTTTGCATGTTGTGTTTGTTTGCTCAGCCCTTTGCTCGTTTCTTTCTTTCTCATAATGTGACCATAGTTATTATTCAGAAGAATGTCATTTTTAAATTCCAAGAGCCAAAATCTTAAATGTATAGTACCTTAACAAGTGTCAGTATATGCAAAGAAGAAGATCAGTATGTGAATGTGTTTGGTACAAATGTGGTTCCAAAGAGAGAAATGGCAACGAGTAACATTTTCTTTGTTTCAATGAAATATCCAAGTCCCCCAGTCGGTGACTTTTCCTAAAAGTGTGTTATGTAGCACAGCAAATTATTTAGAATTATAAAAAAAAAACAGATTAAAAAAGAAAAAAAGGCCATTTATACCTATAAGTGCCAGTAGGTAAAGCGTACCCCGACAGAGAATGAATGAAATCATCTGTGCTCTATTCATTTTGGGCTTTTAGATAAACATTCTTGAGCGGAGTAAAGTTTGATGGTGAGAAGTTTCAGGCGATGTGTCCTGGGTTGATTGTGACTCTTTATGTGAGTAGCATAAAGGGACCACAAATAAAGCATTTCATCATACAACTCTGTCAATGCATTCTAATAAACCGACTCATTTTACCAGTTGCCAGTTTAGGTAATCTCAGCTAATATTGTGGCAACTGGACTATGAAGTGCACCGACTTCTGTCTCTGATTGTTAATTGTTTTAAATGTGCTTCAACTGCATTGCATAATGAGAACACATCAAGCAGGGCTTGGAAAAATTCCCACCTGCATCTTTTCATAACGACTGCATGTCCGTTGCAGACGTCTGAATGTGAACGTACATATTTGTTCGACCATGAGCATTACAAACGCCAAAACATCTGTCACAAAGTACGAGTTGAAACATAGACCTGTAATCTAACTGCAACAACACTGGTTGCATCCCACTCTTTCCTACTTCATTCTTCATTCAAAGTGTTTAATGTTGTGAATTAGTTAAATGGGCACAACTGCTGTGACACTTCTCCTCTCGGATCAAATAAGAGAATTATGTGTTGCTCTAATGATACTATACAATGATTCCAATTAGGAGTACCCATCCGGAGGACGATCATAGAACTAACTTTTAACACACATAGAAATAACCAAATGTGCCCTCTGTGCAGTCACACACACTCTGTCACAACATGTTGTTCATGGTATTCATTATTGTGTTGCCATTAACAGCGACCAGCCCTGTCATTTTGACCGTTTCCAGCTTTACTTCCCATCTTCACCATTCAGCATCCACTCAGGACATCAGTAGTACTAAACGTCACTAGGCCCATTTCAAATAGCAGCAGAGCACAGTGTGACCCACTCAACACTGCGCTCAAAACTAAAGGACAAACACACAAACAGGCTTTGACATCAAGCTCTCTTTTCTTCCTCATGGAACTCTATAAATTCCAAGCCCAATAAAGAACAATGGGGCCCTTTTAACCTGTAGGAAACAGGAAGTAGACGGTCACTGTATACTGACACACCCATGGTCTGGTTCTGAGTCTGTGGTCTCTCTCTCTATCTCTATCTCTCTCTCTCTCTCCAGGGATCTTCTACACAGCGGCCATTGTGGGTCCAGCAGCAGGCTACCTGCTGGGGGGATACTTCCTCAACATTTACACCGAGATCCACCTGACGTGAGTCTGCTGTGGATGGCAGAATCAATAACAATAGACTAGAACACCCATGAATGAATAGAGTATATATAGAACAATATATAATAGAGCAGACTTGATGGATAGCTGGAAATATTGATTCATTTTTTTCTCACATAATTAACATAGTTAATTTTGCACTAAGTTCGTAATCAAATGAGAAAATATTCCGTACTTTTTATTTGTCAGATATTTAATTTACAGAGTATACAAAAATAGTCTCTATGAAACATGGTAAAGCCTATTTATTTATTGAACTCCCAAAAAATGTATTGTTATCGACATATGAAATGACCTATATCGTAATATAAGATTTTGGCCATATTACCCAGCCCTAAGTGGACTAGCATTTAAAGGTCAACATATCAGTGAATGTCAAGTCATTCACACAATGTGTTTGTGTGTGTGTGTTGCCACAGTACAGAGATGACTCCAGAGAACCCACTGTGGGTCGGGGCTTGGTGGATCGGCTTCCTGGCAGGAGGAGCAGCAGCTCTACTTGTAGCATTCCCCATCCTGGGCTACCCACGACAGCTCCCGGGTACCACTCCTGTCCACTGCACACATACACATACACACTATTTGGTCTTGCAATAGGCAGGCAGTAAAGAAGCAAAAGAGTATTCATTCATATATGTTTTTAATTTTAGCTTAAGGTAGACATTGGTAATGGGAGTGGCAAATGTCACTCAGTCTCACATCCTCTGCCTCCTCCTGCAGGCTCTCAGGAGTACGTGGCCATGCGGGTGTCTGAGGCCCACCAGCTCAAGGACGGAAGCCAGACCACAGCCTCAGACCCTCAGTTTGGCAAATCAGTCAAAGACATGCCAAGGTAATGCACCTACTGAAGAGGACAGTAGAAAAGTGTTCTGGATACAGTACAGACAATCTGGGAACACGTTGACTATTGTTCTGAGGATAGATGAGATGGGACAAGAGGAACTAGAGATGTGAGACTGGAGTTGGAGTTGAGAGACAATGTGTATTACTTTGTATTAATTCCTTCACAAGTAGCCAGTTTTACAAGCTAATTTTAAACCAATAAAAAGCTAAATAATCATCAGATGATAGCTGGCGGGTTCCCAGATTTCATTTTCTCTCCACAACGCAGGTTTAACTGGATTCAACCAAACGCTGCTGAAACCTGATCGGTCAACATAGACTACAAATGGAAAGCAGAACACTTCCGATATCAAAACCTTGTCCCGCTGCCTACAGATTCTGCTTGCAGATATATTTATAGAGATTACTGTACAGATGACATCATCAGAATGACTGAGCGCATTAACACGAGGAATTGTTTTTGTGCCATAAATCGAAAAATGGAGAATGTTAAAAATTCCTAGAAGAAAACCTGCCTGTTAGCTTGGACCCCCACTTAAAGGGGGGGGGGGCACGAGCCCTCCTTGTTTTAAGGGGGGGGGGGGGCGGTGTAAGACAAAAACATACAGTTGGCCTATATCCCAGCATTTCATTCATACAGCATCAGGGCCTCTGCTAAACAGCCGCCGAAACAATCAAAGTGCTACAAGAACAATGGCCACGCACCAGGGAGAAGAAAACTATTTATCAAAGAGAAGCCTATTAAGTAGGATTTAAAAAAAATAATAACAAAGACTACTTTATACAAACAGAGGCTTGTATCAAAAGTTCCTAAAATAACAGGACAACTCATCATTGATGCAATATTCACAGGAAAAATCACAATTGATCCAAATTGTACTTTTTACTTCCTGCAGTTATGGCATTCACTATTTGGGTTAATTGTACAGTTTATCAGTTGTTCCGTACCGATATTGTCAAATATGTCACCCATTCAGGATATGCGAGTTTACTCCGCTTTAGGAGTAACTGGATTACAGCAAGTTACTCTATTTATAAATTCAGAAAATGTCCATACGTTAGTTATCATGACATTGTGTTGGTATGTTTTCTCCCCCCCGCTGCACACATCCTCAACTGTTTTGAAACATCAATCCTTCAAGAGGTTAATGAAGAGATTATAATATAGAGGAAATAAACATCACATTCCAGACAAGTTCTATATTTAGACATGCATGTTACGAACTTTGACAGATGAGTGACAGCCCTGCCTCTTTTCAGTTCACAACTGTGTTTACTATGAACGCAGCAGCCCACAGGATGTCACCACTGTAGCACTGGGGATAGCGTGCACACAGTGAGGCGAGGATCATGTTATGTAACATGACGATGCGTCTTTAGATCCAGTGCAGTGTTCACGTCTCCAGGCTGGTGGGATTCGAGCGGCCTGATTTAATTAAAAAGGAAGCTGAGGTTTATTCCATTAGTTGCGCACACTTACTCTTTGCTCTGTCTTTCTCCCTCCAGGTCTGTGCTGCTCCTCTTGAAGAATCCCCCCTTCCTGTTCCTGTGCTTGGCTGGTGCTACGGAGGCCACCCTCATCGCTGGCATGTCCACCTTCGGTCCAAAGTTCTTGGAGTCACAGTTCAGTCTCAGTGCTTCAGAGGCTGCCACATGGTTTGGTGAGTGGGGTTAAATCATACAACACATGATGCAAAGTCCAGAGCAAACCCAAATGACTGATCAAAATCTGTTTTTAAAGCCATCTCAACCCAGTGAGAAATAAAAAAAAGTGGCCAAGACAGACTTTTCTTACTCTGACCTGTTCCTTTGGAGATGTTGGAGACATTAAATATGTATAATTCAACACTTTATTCTCGTTGACCTTATATTTGCCAGTCCCTCCTCTGCAATACATTTATAAATTGACACCAGAAATAGGAATATTTTATCATTGAAATACATCATTCAACTGTGAGTTTTTGGTGAGGTAAATACTAGCAGGAGCAAGCTAGTGACTTTTTTTTTCCTGTTGAGAAGAAGTGTCTTTTGCAAAGCCTTTTGTAACAGGCACCTTCACTGAATTTACAACACTTCCTCACTCCCCAAAATTGTCAAATATCGAGGCTTGATCAGAGGCCCTAATACTTTGAAATATGACGCTCTAGTGTCAGTTTTGGACATGTCATGGAGTGTCATGTCATGTGATGGATGGCGTGTCAGTTTCTGCTCGTTGCATGCATATGGTCTCTTTTGAAATTAAACTTTGTTTACTTACGCAACAAACACTACTTGGTTTTGTTTAGACAGCAATAGTTTGAGGTTAGTCTCAGAAAAAGCGCAAGCGGAAGGATTTGGATTTTAAAAGTTGGGCGGCGGCTGCATTGTTTTAGAGTCATATGATCGAAACATTTCCAAATCTCCACTTAAACAATGAATTTATCTCTAACTGGCCAAACCGTGGCAATCTCCTGGAGTCTGGAGGTGCAGAAAAGCCGAAAAGCCAATGCAGTGTCCACAATGAAAAGAGTTAATCCTCTATGGACTCGACTCAGTACATGTTGTTACAGCTACCTTGTAAGATTGTGATACTTCATGTCTACAAGTAGAGATTTTTGGCCTAATAGTGGAACTGCAGCCTGATTGCATGCCTATGTCTGCGCCCCCCCTCAGGTTACATGGTGGTACCAGCTGGTGGCGGTGGCACCTTCCTGGGCGGCTACATCGTGAAGAGATTGAACCTGCGCTGTCGAGGCATCATCCGTTTCTGCATGATGTGTGCGATGGTCAGTCTGCTCACCATCTTCATCTTCCTCATCCACTGCCCCAACGTGCCCATGGCCGGTGTCACGGCGTCATACCAGTACAGTCTGATGGAGGAACAGCAACTGGACCAGTACAAAGACCTGTATGACAAGCCAAGCGAGCGGCGCCGTAGGAACAGGTAGGCAGTGTTTATGTTGGCTCATAATGTTGAGTTATTTTAATGTTTTTATTTTGACTAAAATGTGCATTAGTTTAGGTTATTGTTTCCGAAAAGATACAATAATATTACTTTAATATCTGGGGGAAATTGAGGTAGCTATAATTCTTGTGGTCATCCAACAATCTGTGAGTAACGTCAATGTTACACCAACAGTCCTTTACAATGTTGTGTTAGCATTAGCATTAACAGTAGCTTACCTTTTATAAAAGTACATTTTATAAATGACACTTTTATTAATGTGAAGCATATTTTAGCGATTCGTCCCAGCTGATTTGTTTGCCACTTCTTGTCTAATTTTAAGTGCGATTGTAGATGAATTTAATATATAAATATTTTATTTCTTTCCTTGAAAGAAGCGGTAATATTAGCAGTTAGTATCTGATTGCTAATCAGGGGCATGGAATTTGTGATTCTGACTTCAGATTGATTTTAATTCATTAATATGTGATTTTGCTCTGCAAAGGAAGTACCTTTATGATTACTAGTTAAATAGAACTTAATGGGAGGTGCCTAGCTGTACACAGAAACATTTCACTTCAGGAAACATTAAACATTTGAATTTTCTTCGGATTGTTTGGATCATAATCTTCAAGTGTAAAGAACGTGGTTAAGCCATTGCAAGCACAAAACATTCACATTTACTGAATGGTTTTTCGACTCAGTTAGACCAATGATGTAGATGATGTCATTTAACAATATTGATTGAGATACAGGGCAGCTTGTGCAGCTTTGTCATGTACTTTTTCAAATGTATCCTCATAAGTATGATATTTTACGAAAAGTCATCTCTGGTTTTTTTTTATGCATTTTCCGAATATTCAAGAACACGAGTCAATTTTGCATCCGGTGACTTGTTCACAATTTCTCGCTGGTGTAACGTCACACGCTGGGTTTTCTCCGCCAAATACATGAATATATCCGGCCAGTAGTTATTGGGTCACTTGCTAATATATTCTTTGGTGGTTAAATGGCCTTGCATAGCTCGACAAGCTATTGCACTTCGCCTTACTTCCGTTGCCAATTTGTGTGCCCACACTTACGTATGTCAGCATTGTTTACAAACTGTAAGAGGTTTATACTTCCTGGTTTACGAAAACTGGGATTACATACAATTAATTTTGTGGGACATAAAATAATTACGGCGCATTACTTCTCGTAGGTATAGTGTCGAACATTGTACGAGTATAGCCTTGGTTACTCAGCACTGTCTTTATGTACTTCAGAGTATTACCATCATGATGACACATGTACAGTAGTGACTTAGGAAACTGCTTGTTATCACAAAGTAGGAGGTAGCACATTTTTTGCATCTAATGACCTCCTTCTTTGCCCTTTCTCCACACACCTGTCCCTCCCTCCCTCCCTCCCTCTGTCCCTCCTTCACCTCATGTCTGCAGCTCTTCTTTAGAGGAGGACCTGACAGTGGGCTGTAATGCAGGCTGTGGTTGTGTCAGAGAGCTGTACAACCCGGTGTGCGGGGCAGACGGAGTGATGTATTACTCCCCCTGCTACGCCGGCTGCAGCTCCATCAACCACACCGAGCACTCCACGGGCAAACAGGTACTGCTCTAATGCTGCAACCCTCTCAGGAGATTCATTGACTGATCAGTGGTTTTGGTCTTGTTCATTAGTTGATTAGTCATTTTTTATGCGTTTTTCATGCTCAATGACTTATTTCCAACTAACTTATGTGCACATATCTGGTTATCACAAGATTTTGTGTGATTATTTGTGGAGAAACTCTGTTTTACACATCTGTATATTAAATCAACTCATGGATTAGACAACAAAATCTTATGAGTGTTAGTCCACTGATCATTTCTTTGGATGAGGACAACCCTTGAGAGCACAAAGCTGTGAGTCTGTAAATACAGGGGACAGCATTGCCTCCCAGTATTTCCTCCCTTATGCTGACGCCTCCCCCTCCTGCAGAAAATAATGACTCTCCTCTGCTCCTCAAGATATGTTTCTTAACTTCCCAGCATAATGTGCTAACAAGCAACAACACATTCAAATGAATGCACTGCAGTTATAGTTATTCACATCGTCAGTGTTAGTATAGACTGAGAATGCTAAACTCTGCAGCAGAGGCACTCGTTTGCATTACAGGCCTCCTCTGAAGCATTTCAATGAAAAATAAAATGTACTTCAAACAAAGAAACCTTTTTTTTCCAAATGTTAAATCGACATTATTGTGAAGACAATAGCCTTTTGTTACACCTACAACATATAGGATAATATAATGAAATCATTTAGTGATATTTGAGAATTTTAACATTGTTCCTTTCAGTATTTATTTTAATTCTCTTAACCATCACACAGTTTACAATGAACACTTAACCTACTCACTTAAACTTTTTTTTACTAATTTAGAAGCAACAACATTTGTAAAGCAGTTTAGTTGGACAGTTGAATAGCTCTGAATTAAGAAAATATGATTTGATGTATATTCTTATAATGTCCTTCAGTACTTTGTATAATATCGCAGTTGCATTTAGTCAACAATGTTATTATTTTAAGATAGAGTATATGATCCTCTTAGGCCTCCAAAGGCCAAACATGAGAAAATCTGGTAGAAAATAGTAAAAGTTACTATTTTGAAGCCAGGGCTGTAGACTGAAAGCCTGATATAAAATAATGATTTAATGCTGTGATGGCTGTGGGATCAAAAGTTCTGGTTAAAATGGTCTTCAATGGTTGACATATTTAAGCTGCTTTACGTCTGCTTTACAGATTATTACAGACTTACATACAGGAGCTACAGTTGAAAACTTACACCATTGCCAAAACGTATGCCATATGCATAAACACAGCCTAAAGGCCCCTCGTGATGCATAAGAGTTAATGTTGCTGTTTGTGAACTAATGAACAATACGTGTGTTTTCAGGTGTACTCTGGATGCAGCTGTGTGGTGGGAAATGTGTCCTGGGGCGAGGAGGGCTTTGCTCGAACAGGGAAGTGTGGCAGCACCTGCCACCACATGCCAGCCTTCCTCTCCTTCCTCTTCATCATCATCTCCTTCACCTTCCTCTGTAGCATCCCAGCACTCACTGCCACACTCAGGTAAACAATGTCACATTGGACTACTTGTTGTTAAGTCTTTTCATTACGGGTAAACAGCTGGTAACTGCCTTGAGAAATACATAGCTGCCTTGCCAATGGGCATAACTCGCCCCCAAAAATATATTTTCTAAATCCAACCATTTGACAGTACCTCCGTTGCCCACTAGATGGCAGTCCGAACAGATCACTATAGTGCTGTCGGGGCAAACTGCAGATAAAACAAATGCAGCAAAAGGAGCTGAAAAAAGGACGAACTTGTATCGCAATGAAGTGTGAGATCCATTCGGCCTTCATGCCTGACCAACTGTGTGTCGTGTAGGTGTGTGCCAGACAGCCAGAGGTCCTTTGGACTCGGTATCCAGTGGATTGTGGTGCGCACACTCGGTAGGCCCACTGTATTCTTGCATCAAGTTCTTTTTCTTCTTTCAACCTCTGAATCACGACCCGATTGCTTAATGTAGATGTTGTCCAACCTCTGCTGCTGTTTCCCCACAGGCGGTATTCCGGGGCCCATAGCTTTCGGCTCGGTGATTGACATCTCCTGCTTACTGTGGCAGGATAAGTGTGGTGAGCAGGGCTCCTGCTACCTCTATCATAACTCAGCCATGAGCCAGTACACACTAGTAGCTGGTATCATCTATAAGGTAATACTAATACACTCAGTAGCAGGCCTTTTACTGAAGTCTCACTTTCAATCTCTTTGTTGAAAACTTATGCTTGTGAAGAAAGATATCTCTGCTTCACTTAAAAAATGTAATGACATAGTTTAGTCACTCTGCCTTAGGGACTGTAAGGACATATTTGATGTGCATGTGCATGTTTAAATGTAATTAGCTTAGTTTAGCATAATACCGGAGTATTCACTTCAGTTTGTGTCCAAATCAAACAAATGTTACACAACGTGTTACAATACTGAATGGGTTTACTTTCACACAAAATACAACTGGAGGTGCTGGCAGGTGTATTTCTTTACTTTATTCCTTGCTACAGTCGGTGTGCTTTATGCTAAGCTAATGGCCTGAGGGCTCTGGCTTCAAGCACAGACACAAGAGTGGTATCGATCTTCTTGTCGAACTCTCTACAAGAAAATAAACATGTGTATTTCCTAAATTGTTAAACTAGTCCTTTGATATGAAAAAGTGACTTTTTTTTAACTCTCCCACTTCACTACGATCATCTGTTCTGTTTTCTTTTTTTAGGTCATGGGGACAATCTTTTTCCTGTTGGCCAGCATCCTGTACCAGCCTCCTCCTGAGTCGCCTCAAAGTAGCTGTGAGAGCACCGACCATGGAGGAGGGGACATGAGCGACCTGCCTGTCAAAGACCTGCCTGAAGACGGCGTCATCGTCAACCTGCACGCCAGGTTATGACGTCAAAGACCCCCCCGCCCCCGACCGCTGAGTCTCTGTCCGACTGTGTGTGTGTGTGTGTGCGCTGCTTAGCACAGTGCGTGAATGTGTGTTTGGGTGGTGCTTCCTTTATACCAACAGCCTTCTCTCAGCCATAATGACACCACCCCCAACAAACACATGCGTGCATGACAACACATGCACATAGACAAATGGAGAAGATTAATACAGACACACATACCAAGAACAGGATGCCTTCATGCCCACCGCACACACACAAACACATACACGACGACTTCTAACATGCTGCTCTCTGGGAAGACAACCCTGCTGTGACCACACGTGTGCGTATCTGATTGTGTGATTGACGGGGCGGTGCCACACAAGTTTCTCACAAGCATTTCTACAGATATCGCAACACTGTGTTGAATCAGTTCAAATGACTTTTTAGAATGCAAGTCTGATGGCATTTTTTTGTTTCATATTTTATGTAATTTTCCTTCAAAAGACAATGAAACAGCTGAGACCTTCGTGGTATATATGATATGCCATGTGTATGAAGCATTTATGATGTGGAGGGAAAAAAAAAGAAGGTATTAATATCCATATTTTTTTTCTGTTCTTCTCCCATTACTGGAAGATAGTGACACTGCTTTACTTTCCACCCATGATGTATCTGCAGCCCAGTAATAATGAAGCCAAATCATTTCATATGTCATATTTCAAGCCAAGAGTATCTGAAGGCACTTATATTCATATGATGTCACTATAATCTATTGGTCACAGTACAGCAGCACAAATCTATTTTCAATTAGAAAAGCACACATGTATTTTTGATGTACATGTAGAATATATGACCACTAATTGGCTTGTATTCAATCGTAGAAAAGAGAATAAATGAAATACTGAAAACTGTATATATACATACATGCTCTGTTGGACAGAGTTTAGAGCTTTGATGCTTCTCTTCCATAGCAAACACATAGCTGCACTTTAAAAAAAAAAACTCAAAAGATCTGAGAAGCTTGGATAATATGTGTTGACACAATGAAGGCCTGGTCATATCAGCTTTTAAAGTTTGCTACAAAATGATTTATTTCCTATAGAATCATTGCAATCACTTTGTTGGGTTGAAGTAAATCTGAGCAAATTTTTTTCGAAGCAAAAATTGTTGCATTAAGTCATCTTCATCGCCGGACAGCATGAGACATGGCTAAAACTTGCGGACATAAAAGAACAACTTGCCTGATTGAAACAAATTCATGAAGACCTCAATCATATTTTTTTTAAATTCGTACATGGGTTAGATGGCCAAGGCGACTTGTTTTGGTCTAACCCACTTCTTCTTCTACTCTGTTTACTGGTGGATTACAGCCATGCGTAGCCTATGGGGCCAACTTCTGATGAAACTATGCTTTGCATAGCTGAGTTAATTCTCTCCAACCCAGTTGATAATTCACATTTCTTTTTTGCGATATTTCGAAAGTTAATTAAAATTTGGTGACCGTTTTAAATGCTGATGCGACCATGCTTTAGAGAAGGGTATTATGGGAAATAGCTTGTAAGTTGGAGCTGCCAAGGGCAACGCGCAACTGGCATGACATGCAGTATAGCAAATCAGCAGTTATTTGGACCTAATTATTACAGTACTGTTAGTACACAAATGTGCCAAAGCAGCCTTGCCTAACAACTCTTGTGTATTATTTTGTTTTACCATTGATCTTATTTATGCAAATAATTTATTCATAATGTTTCTGCACTTATATGTTTGTTGTTTTTGTTTGCATTCACTGTGGGATGATGAAAGGAATGCTGCCCAGGCTCTGCTCCTGCCTTTCTTTGTCCGTAAGAACTCCTCCCCCTTGTCTTTATTGTTTATGTGATAGTGAAACGCTACCTTCTGTACGTTGCCTGTGTTGTTGTCATGTCCTGTCCCTGTAAGAATTGACCTCAACACCCTCCAGCTGATGTTGACGAGTTTGATCCATGTGAATGTGTAAACGCAGTACTCCTCGTTATGCTTTTCAATCAGTCCCGAGCTTTGACAAACCACTCTGTAAAGTGATTTTTATTCTTTTTTATTTTGTTTTTGGTACTGTATGTTTTTAAAAAAAAAAGCAGTGGACTTGAAATCGAATGATCTTTTTATGGAATGATTCAAAGATGTCAAGTGTTTTCTAAATACAATAGCTGAACGGCGCTTTACTTTTTGTGTGTCAAATCGTTATTTATCATGTTATGAGTGTGTGTGTGTGTGTGTGTGTGTGTATGACAGAGACCTTCCTGAGAACAGAAAAGGACAAAGAACATATACTATACTAATAACAATAACATATGACATAACATAGTGAAGGGCAAATCTCAAATCAATCATCCTATCATGCAGATGCAGAAGTATCTGAAGTAAGCCAGATAAGAGTTGAATCTCACTCAATTGTCCCTCCCGGCTCAAGATGGTGGTGAAGATTTAAAAAAAAGGGATTTATTCATATCGTATCGAGATTAACGTCAGTGTTTCATAAAATATGGAATTAAATGTTTAATGGCCTGTACCGTGGTTGCACTTTTCTATTCTCTCGACACCTCAAAGAGCTTTAACACTACATGTCATCATTCACCCATTCACACACTGATGGCAATGTGCCACCTGCACATCAGGACTAACGTTCACACACATTCACAAATTGTTGGCACAGCCTACAGGAGCAAATTGGGGTTAAGTGTCTTGCCCACGGACACATCGGCATGGACTGGGCGAGCCGGTGATCGAACCTCCATCCTCTGATTGACGGACAACCTGCTCTATCGCTGAGCCACAGTCGGAAATTAAGCTCCAGATGCTCATGTTCACAATCAAAATAGATATAAAATATTGGCCGGTCAAAAGGAGTGAGGTGTCAATGACGGTATAAAACAGCCAATAAAATGGGTTTTTAAAAACTTGTCAATCATTGACACCACAAGAGGTCCTTGAGCATGGAGTCATAAAAGAGCACAGAAGATATAAGGCTGATTGTTCCAGCACTATGTGAGATTAGCCCAGGGCAGACAGAGAGACACACATACGAGCTAACACTTTATCTCCCCACAAGCTCAACCACAAACAATTTGGGCAAAACAGAATTTTAAGAGAAAAAAATCAGTGTTCCCCTCCCTCGTTCTGCTGCATTTAAAAAAAAATGAATTCTCTCTCTCTCTCTCTCTCTCTCTCTCTCTCTCTCTCTCTCTCTCTCTCAGTGGCAGCCCTCATACTTTAGATGGAGCCAAACCACCACTGAATGTGAAGTTGGAGAAAGTGATTTAGTACCTCTGAACACAACATTTGGGTGTCTGGGTACATTGACTGTGTAGTACGATTTAGTGTAGTGACAGAAGAAGTACTCATATCCTCTCTAATGCTTAAGTAAAAATAAATAAAACATTATTTTAGATGTAATTTTGCTTAATTGTTCAAGCAAATGCAAAAACTTCGACAGTACACTGGGAAATGTGTAAATGCAGGGACATGGCTGTTTAATGACTGACGTCATGTTATCGGCTATGGAAACAATTCTTATTCAGGCTGCACACAAACAAATTTTGGTGACCGGTAGAACCATTATCTTCATTATCAGAAATACTAAACAGATAGTATACATCAAAGGAAACATGGAGGAACAATGGTGCGCTTCTCTAGCAGGGTCTCGGTTACCATGGTAATATTGTGACCATGTGACCCTCCTAATTCCGGTATTCGAACAAAGATAATGATGAAGATCTAAAACAGCATGTGAGACAGTGACGTGGGTAAGTGGCTGCTTTAGAGTAAGACATAAGTGATTTGGCCTTCCTCTCTGTCGCATTATAAAGCAAGTGAATGCATTTGAAAGTCATTTGCTATGTGACATTAGGAACAGTTCAGTGGTCAGTGTTAGATCTCATGCGAGCAGACACACATTCACCTCTGTTTCCATGGGTGTCTTCCATTCAGGTAATTATGCTTCTTCCCCTCCCACCCTGGCTTGTGACCAGGAAGCTGATCGAGGGCGTCCATCATCGAAAGTGTTCCGAGCATCATGGCAAAATGTTTACGAATTTCCTTTCAAAACAAGTGAAATCTGTGTCTGCTGCATCTGTGTCTGTCTCCTTCAGAACGACTGACAGAGCGCCCCTAACCCCTGATAGCGGTGGCGGGCCGTGTGTTTTATACCTGGGCCTTCTGTGTTGTCCTTCTACAGTTCAACCACCTCCTAATAACCTCATTATGACGCCATAGCTACGGGTTATTATTTCTTTCTAGGGGTGTAACAATACACGTATTCGTATTAAACAATTTGGTACGAGGCTTACGAACCGAACAATACATTTGAATAATTCTAGTGCATTAATGCAGAAGATTAAATTGTGGGAAATATAATGTTTTCGGTGGACTACGCTCAACCTGGCAACACGCTGTCTGACACGCCCACCCCGGAACCACAACACTGTACCCTGGTGAGGCGCATATATATATATGGGATGTTAGCAACCATTGCTTGTAGAGTGGTGAGATACATCAGATTTCCCCAAAAAGATGGTAAATTGAGCGGGCAAAGCAGGAATTTTGTTTTTAGAAATAGGAATCAGAAGCACACTGTTCCGACGGCCCATTACAAAACCCCATCCTCCCAAAAATGGCCGACTGGATTGAAAGCCCATTTTTCCGCCATTTATCCAGAAAACTATGATGTAGTTTTTGCTTAATAAGCTATGCGACATGTGCAATGGTATTTTCAGAGCAATGGGCCTGTGGAGCAATGGGATAACGAGCTTTCGGACATGTGGGCTTTTAGTCAAATGGCATATTTTTCAGACTATTGGGGTTTCGGAACAATGGACCGTCGGAACCGTGGCATGGCACCGTTCAATCTACACCCAGGTAGTTTGCACCGGCAATAAAATCATCACAAAGGTGGTCGCCAAATTCCCTGCGTCAAAACATGATGACCACTGGCTACTTGGTAAGAAAGTTGTTTAGAGAAAATATTTGTCACACTGCCTCATTGAGATAGATATAGATAGATAGATAGATACGTTATTCATCCCCAGGGGGACATTTGTTGTAAGCAGATGGGGGAAGGCACGTCAGACAGAACATCATTCAACATTATTTCCAATAATGGCGTAGTTTGAGATATAGCCTTTTTTGCCTTACAAAAGTCGATGCAGCAATTCCAACTTTGCGTGACTTATAAAATTGAATTGTACATAGATAATATATTGACATTATTATCATTATTATTAACATCACTATAGAACTTTTCAACAAAGAGTGCTTCACAAACAAAAGCAAATAAATCAATAAAACCAAACAATGATTACAACTCAATTTTGTCGCTCGGAAATGAATAATTCCTCATTTCAACCTCTCTGCCGTGTGCTTAGCCCGCATGACCACCAGCACTGCGAGTGACCCCACCCATCTGTCATGCAGCCTATTCTGCCTTCTGGGAGAAGATACCAGAGCCTCCCAGTTCACTGCATTAGACTGGTCAGCAACTTTATACATCAGGCTGTCAGGATGCTGAACTCTCTCCTCTCTGCCTCCAAAAAGCCTGGACTGTAACCAACTCATTACACACAGCACTGGCCTATATTTAATATATGTGTTTTCGCAATTCAATCCTCTATGCATCCTTTATACATGAATGCTAAAATGTCAATGAAGAATTGACATTTTAGTTGCCTTTGTCAAGTTTGAAATTAGTTACGACATTTAAAAAAATAAAAATGAACACTTCTTCTGTAATTAAACCCAGTGGGAATGACCTTTTAGCTCATAATTATATACAAACTAACTTGCAATCTGTGTATGATAATGTCCATCCTTTAGTCAAATCTGAAATATTGAATCAGAAATGTGGAATTACCAGCAGGTACAAATGCAGACTACACCCAGGTCAGC